CTACAATGGGTATGGACTCCACAAATCTCCCCCTCCATACCCATTCACCTAAAGGAGGTAGCTCTAGGTTTCTAGCTTGAGTGCATGCCGACAAGTTCTTTGCATAGCTCAAACTTGTCCCTTGATACCACCTTGGTCAGCATATCTGAAGGTTTTTCACTAGTAGGGATGTTCATGACCTGCATAGATCCGTCGTCTATCTTTTCATGAATCCAGTGATATCTCATGTCAATATTCTTCGTCCTTGCATGGTACATGGTGTTCCTGCTCAAGTCTATTGCACTATGACTGTCACCATAGACGACATACTCCTTCTGATGCAATCCAAGTTCTTGAAGAAATTGTTTCAGCCATACCGTCTCTTTGCCAGCTTCAGTAGCTACAATATATTTTGCCTCAGTTGTAGAGAGTGCGACACACTTCTGCAACTTTGACTGCCATGATATAGCTCCCCCTGATAATGTAAACAAATATCCAGTAGTGGATTTTCTATTATCAAGGTCACCTTCCATATCAGCATCAGTATAGCCCTTCAAGATTGGATCAGAACCTTTAAAACACAAGCAATCTCTTGTGGTACCTCTTAGATTCCTGAGTATCCACTTAACTGCCTCCCAGTGTTCTTTTCCAGGATTTTCAAGGAATCTGCTAACAACACCAACTGCATGAGCAATATCAGGTCTTATACACACCATCACATACATCAAACTCCCCACTGCTGAAGAATAAAGAACTTTAGCCATTCCCTCTTTCTCCTTTTTTGTTGTAGGACACATCTGTTTGCTCAACTTCAGATGACTCGCAAGAGGCGTTCTAACAGGTTTAGCACTCCTCATGTTGAAGCGTTCTATTACACGTTCAATGTACTTCTCTTGAGATAGCCACAACTTTCTTTTTGTTCGTTCTCGAACAATCTTCATCCCTAGAATTTGTTGTGCTGGGCCCAAGTCTTTCATGTCAAATGACTTGGACAAATCTTTCTTCAACTTTGCAATTAGTTCTTTGTCTTGTCCTACAATTAACATGTCATCCACATATAACAACAAAATAATAAAATTGTTGTCAGAAAATCTTTTGAAGTATACACATGGATCAGAATAGGTCTTTGTGTACGTTTGACTTTTCATGAAAGAGTCAAACTTTTTGTACCATTGTCTTGGGGCCTGTTTCAACCCATAAAGACTCTTATTCAATTGCACACCATTTGTTTATTTCCAGATACTTCAAATCCCTCTGATTGCTCCATATAAATCTCTTCTTCCAAATCTCCGTGAAGAAATGTAGTTTTCACGTCCAATTGCTCCACTTCAAGATCTAGACTAGCTGTTATGCTCAAAATAGTTCGAATAGAAGTCATTTTGACAACAGGTGAAAAAATTTCATCAAAATCAATACTTTTATTTTGTTCAAAGCCTTTTACAACCAATCGAGCTTTGTACCTCACCAACTTGCCATTTCCATCTTTCTTGAGTTTAAAGACCCACTTGCACTTAAGTGATCTTTTTCCTTTTGGAAGTTCAACTAGTTGGTATGTGTCATTTTTCTGTAGAGATCCCATCTCTTCGTGTATGTCTTTCATCCATTGGCTCTTTTCTGGGTGAGACAACACCTCCTTAAGACTTTCTAGCTCACCTTCGTCATTGATTAGGACATACTCTGAGGAAGGGTATTTGGTTGATTCTACCCTTTGTCTTTCTGATCTCCTCAGAGGTTGATATTGTTCTTCTTCTGGGTACTCCATTTGCTCGGTACTATCACCAAGTTGCTCCCCTTGCTCAACAATCTCATCAGGTTGCTCTTCATGCTCAGCACCTTCATCAATCATACTTTCTGCACTTATGGGATGGTTAGAAGAAGAAGGAATGGTAACAAGATTAGGGACTATACCATTCTTTTTCTTGGCCTTCTTGGATAGATCATTAGGAGTTCCAACTTCACTTTCTCAAAAGATTACATCTCTACTTCTGATGACCTTCTTCTTCACAAGATCCCATAGTCTGTACCTGAACTCTTCATCTCCATATCCGATGAATATGCAAGGAACTGATTTATCATCTAGCTTGGTTCTTTGCTCCTTCGGTACAACCGAACACCTTTAGGTGCGAGTAAGACATCTCATTGCTGGTCCAAACTCTCTCCGGAATGTCAAACTCCAACGGAACTGATGGACTACGATTGATAAGGTAACACGATTTCCGAGCTGCTTCACCCCAGAATGTCTTGGGTAATTTAGCCATTCTGAGCATGCTTCTCACCTTCTCAACAATGGTGCGATTCATTCTCTCAGCTACACCATTGTGTTGTGGGGTTCCAGGAACTGTCTTTTCATGTCTAGTTACTTAACCTCTGTATTTTTATTACCATCTTAATTTACATGTATATGTATTTTTTAAGATACCAGTGAAGTTCATGTAGCTTCTTTGTCCAAATTACTACTCTACCTTTTTTTTTCCTATGTGCTTATTTAGTTTGTAGTATTAAAAGCTTCGCAGGTGATCTGAGTAAATAAAAATTACAAGCTTCTGTTTATCACAAAATTAAGGTGATAATTGACTCAAATATTGGTAGGGCGACAAGTAGTTGTGTTTATATATATATATATATATATATATATATATATATATATATATATATATATATATATATTGTGATTTGATAGAACATTTGTCAGTAGTTTTAAGCCTTTCCCCTGCATCCACATTGTTGTCATCAAAATTCCACCAACTACATCTTTCCTTCTCCGCCGGTAACCATGCAAGCTATCCAATTTTCATCTCTCCGGCCATCTCCGGTCGACCCATTTCTCAAAACCATACCCCAATTCACCAATGTAAAGCCATTGAGACCCAAAAGAACCCCTTTTATCTCAGCTTCATCCACTACAGTTTCGGCCCAATAAGGGAAAAAGACCCCAAAAAGCGTGTTGTTATAACTGGCATCAATCTGACTCCACCCCCACCTTCTATTATGAGGTTTGTTATGAAGATTCATCCTGTGGAAACTGTATTAGATATGACTACCAGAAGATTTATGTCAATATACATTTCTACTTAAAAATAGTTATTTAGAAAGCCAGAATATTGTTCTTTACAAGATGTACTTTTCTGTGTGTCAAAATTACCTACATATTTCTCACAATTACTTCCTTCTTTTTTTTCCTTCTCAATTAGTACTGCGGCCTTGGAAAGGTGTAAAAAGCGTATTGAACTTATTGCAAACACTCTACAATTAGAAGGATTTTCGCGTATTGATGCGTTTGTTCATGCTGACACTGGCGAGGTATGTTATTGCTGAGATTCTTTTCAATTGATTGAACAATAATGGAAGTGAATCTAATAATTAATAGTTAATAATATCATTAAGGAAATGTGTCTTTTCCAGCAAGATGCAGTTCATGATGTGCCTCTTGATATAATTGTTACACACTCATGTTAATTATACGAGTGCACAGAGATTTACCATGTTGTTTAGAAGGCTGTAGTACTCTACTAAAATTTTCAAAGTATTCATCGTTTTTGTGGTCTATTTCTGTATACCAGTAGAACTAATTAAGTTGATACAAGATAAGTATAAGAGGTTGAATCACCTGTCGAAACTGGTCGTTTGCGGTGGAATTGGGGCCAAAGTATCATTTTAGAGGCAATATTTATTGTTGAGTTAATTCAGTAGTAGAACTTGAGGAGATCAGAACTTAATAAAAGGATTTCTGCAAACTGCAACACTTAACATGCCATACAATTGATAGAATTTCTGTAAATCAGATAACTACTTGCAGATGTGTTATAAGATTTAATTGGGGGTTGGTTGTTTTGCGGTCATAAGTACTGATTATCAAAGTGAATACAGTTCCACGAATGACTCCTTCCACCTTTTTCATTCATCAGGTGATATATCTACTTCTTCTTCAATGACCACATATATTTTCAATTTTGGACCAACTTTATGCTATTTGTAATTATCCGCAATAGGACTATATACAATGTCATATATATATATATATATATATATATATATATATAAAAGGGGTTCAGTGAGCAATTCGAATAAGTGAAACTTCAACGATTTACATTATCGTGTTTGTTGTATTTTGGCACTTTCAGAGCAACCTCCCCTGTATCCGCAACAGTTCTTCCGCACGTTGCTTGATCTGGCATCAGAGAGATCTATGTGAATATAATTATATCAGAAGATTTCAGGTTGTTCATTTTTTTCTTACTATCTGTTGTCCATCCATCATTTTCCTTCCTATGTTGTATGTTAATTCAAGACTCTTTGTAAAAATGTTGCCGATTTACATGTTGATTATTCAAGCTAATTTGGATTTCGATATGCATGACAACCATTAACTGTCTTTTATATGGTGCAATTTATCTTCTTCAGATGGTCTGTTGATACATTCTTATGGGTCCTTTTAGTAGGTTGTTCTGAAGTTTCCTCCCTCAGTTTTTGATGGTTGCACCTAAGCAAAAGTGGACTTCAGAAGAAGAATCTGCCTTTAAAGTTGGGAAGAATTTAATGGAGTATTGTGTTTGCGTTCAAATGTAGATCTCAAAGTAGGGTTCCTTCTATCATTTTTTTCATTAGATAATTATATTTAGTGCATAGGAAGTTCGGAAGTTATTTGAACCAGATATAGTCGTGAGGTCTAGTCTTAATTTTAGTTTCCTATCTATGCATGTGGTGTTAACATGCTTTCCTATTCATACTTATTGATGTTGTTCAGGACAAGTGGAGGAACATGACTGTAATGGCAAATGGTTGGGGTTCTCGGGATCAAGCAAGATTGGCTGTAATACCATGCATAGAGTATTCAATTTTTTCATTGTAGAAATAATGTAGGAATGCATGCAGTGCATCTCTAGCAACCAATAGTTTAGCAAAAATGCAGCAATCCTTAAGCCTCAACTTCTGTCCAAAGTGCATCATTCGTAGCAGCAATATTTTGAAAAAAACGCAGCAGTTAGCTAACTTAAAAGTGCAGCAAAGTTTAGCCAAATATATAGGCAAACCATTGGCTCAAATATATCCAAAAGTGTAGCAAAATTTAGCTCGACACATAGCAACAGTATACTGAAATTTGATCAGAAATGTAAGAAATAGCTTAGTCTAAAATTCAACAGCAATACGATACAAAATCAGTAACCCATGGTTTAAATACATCAAAACGACGGAGCAGCATGGAAGTAACTTCACGGTTGAACAGTATGTCAGGCTTTGTTGTGAAGACATAGTGCGAGTTCATTACTTTATCCTCTCCTCGGGTTCATTTCAAAATGTACAGAGGTTGTTGATATACTTAAGCCGAACCTATGACTTTTAAAATCTGTTGTCTACAAAAAATCTTAAACTATAAATCATTTTTTAATGTATTAAAAAAACTGTAAAATTAAGTTACTGCTACTTTTAAATTGTTCACATAAATATATTTTGTCAACAACAATGTCATACCAAGTAAATAATATAATGAAAACACACATGGCTAGTGCAATCACAAAATCGGCAACATTTTTACAAAGAGTCTTGAATTAACATACAACATAGGAAGGAAATGATGGATGGACAACAGATAGTAAGAGAGAAATGAACAACCTGAAATCTTCTCATATAATTATATTCACATAGATCTCTCTGATGCCAGATCAAGCAACGTGCGGAAGAAATATTGCGGATACAGGGGAGGTTGCTCTGAAAGTGCCTAAATACAACAAACACGATAATGTCAATCGTTGAAGTTTCACTTATTCAAATTGCTCACTGAACCCCTTTTATATATATATATATATATATATATATATATATATATATATATCTATGACATTGTATATAGTCCTGTTGCGGATAATTACAAATAGCATAAAGTTGGTCAGAAATTGAAAATATATGTGGTCATTGAAGAAGAAGCAGATATATCACCTGATGAATGAAAACGGTGGAAGGAGTCATTCGTGGAACTGTATTCACTTTGATAATCAGTACCTGTGACCGCAAAACAACCATACCCCCAATTAAATCTTATAACACATCTGCAAATAGTTATCTGATTTACAGTAATTCTAGCAATTGTATGGCATGTTAGTGTTGCAGTTTGCAGAAATCCTTTTATTAAGTTCTGATCTCCTCAAGTTCTACTACTGAATTAACTCAACAATAAATGTTGCCTCTAAAATGATACTTTGGCCCCAATTCAACCGCAAACGACTAGTTTCGACAGGTGATTCAACCTCTTATATTTATCTTGTATCAACTTAATTGGTTCTACATGTATACAGAAATAGACCATAAAAACGATGAATACTTTGAAAATTTTAGTAGAGTACTACAGCCTTCTAAACCACATGGTAAATCTCTGTGCACTCGTATAATTAACATGAGTGTGTAACAATTATCTCAAGAGGCACATCATGAACTACAACTTGCTGGAAAAGACACATTTCCTTAATGATATTATTAACTATTAATTATTAGATTCACTTCCATTATTGTTCAATCAATTGAAAAGAATCTCAGCAATAATATACCTCGCCAGTGTCAGCATGAACAAACACATCAATACGCGAAAATCCTTCTAACTGTAGAGTGTTTGCAATAAGTTCAATACGCTTTTTACACCTTTCCAAGGCCGCAGTACTAATTGAGAAGGAAAAAAAAGAATGAAGTAATTGTGAGAAATATGTAGGTAATTTGGACACACAGAAAAGTACATCTTGTAAAGAACAATATTCTGGCTTTCTAAATAACTATTTTTAAGTAGAAATGTATATTGACATAAATCTGGTAGTCATATCTAATACAGTTTCCACAGGATGAATCTTCATAACAAACCTCATAATAGAAGGTGGAGGTGGAGTCAGATTGATGCCAGTTATAACAACACGCTTTTTGGGGTCTTTTTCCCTTGTTGGGGCTGAAACTGTAGTGGATGAAGCTGAGATAAAAGGGGTTCTTTTGGGTCTCAATGGCTTTACATTGGTGAATTGGGGTATGGTTTTGAGAAATGGGTCGACCGGAGATGGCCAGAGAGATGAAGATTGGATAGCTTGCATGGTTACCGGCGGAGAAGGAAAGATGTAGTTGGTGGAATTTTGATGACAACAATGTGGATGCAGGGGAAAGGCTTAAAACTACTGACAAATGTTCTATCAAATCACAGTATATATATATATATATATATATATATATATATGAACACAACTACTTGTCACACAAAAAATAAAAGATCCAAAATTGATGACCCCAACCAACACAGCTGTATGGAAAAAGAAAAAAGCAACAGTTGTGTAGTACGTTAAAATCAAAGATCAATTTTATCACATTTTTCAACATTAGATGCTTAGGCTTAGCATAACGTGTAACCTTTGTTTATAGAAATGAAACAAATAAACTATACTCACGTGAAATCTTGTGTTATAAAACATGACATATAATTTATTTGTCCAAGAATGAATGTCGTTAAAGGTAATAACTGAAGGTTTGCATGTTAGCAATTTTCACTTGTTTTAATTTATTGATTTAACCTATCTCGCTCGCCCCCATGATAACTGTCTCATCGTTCCCCATTACTATATCTACTTATTTATTCAAACGTAACAAATGCTTAATTGAGACAAATATTAAATATAATCGATAATTATAAAGTACTATGATCAATTGGTTTCTTATCAAGATGGATTCAAAGTTTTGTTAAAGTACAAGAAAGTGTATCTATAGAGTATGACATTACACGTCTTAGAAAGAAATTTAATCAAGTTATGTCTATCATTTTACAAATTTGCATAAATAACTTAACTACAACACTAATTTCTATTGGCACATCTTTAACCAGTAACCACATATACCAAATGACCCCTTAATTTTTCTTATCGTAAAGAACAAAATGTCAACATTATAGTTTCAAATAAGAAAAAAATAATTAAAAAACAAAACTGAAGGAACAAAATGGATAAGAACAAAAACTTGTTACATATTTGGAAAGAATGGAACATGCGTTAATTAAATAACAAATCACTCATTAGGCTTGTCTCTTAAATACAGAAGAGATTTGCCTTAGGCTAATCCTCTTTTTTAATTTATTATTTTAAATTCTCTTGAAGTGTACTCACCTCCATTGTCGGTTCGGAGACGTTTTAGCTTTTGACCTGTCTCTCTTTCTATCAGAGCATGAAACTTTTGAAATACTTGAAACTCCTGATCTTTGGTTCTCAAGATATAAACCCATAATTTTCGAGAAGCGTCATCAATAAAGGTAACAAAGTATATTACCTCCTATCGATTCTATCTCCATTGGACCACAAACATCAGAATATACCAAATCAAGTATATTCGAATTTCTTTCAGATGATGTCTTAAATGAGACTCTATGTTATTTACCAAATAAGCAATAGTTACACGATTTTATCGTTGTACCTTCGGCAAAAGAGATGAGTGACTTTTTGGAAAGAATTTGCAATCCTTTCTCGCTCATATGACCCATTCTTTTATGCCATAAATCTGCAGAATTTTCTTCGTGAGCCGCATTTATTTCACCTTGGCATATTTCTGCATTTGTCCTGTATAACGTGCCACGAGCAACTCCTTTTTCAATCACCAATGCCCCTTTGGTGAGTCTCCATTCTTTATTTGCAAAGTAGTTCTCATATCCATCTTGGTCCAAAGCAATTTCCGAGATCAAGTTCATCCGCAAATCAGGTACGTGGCGCACATCTTTCAACACTAATGTGCATCCAACATTTGTTTTTAAGAAAATGTCTCCGATCCCCGCAATCTTTGAGTAACTTGTGTTACCCATTTTCACATTGCCATAATCACCGGCTACATATCTGCAAAAAATATCTCTTACCGGTGTGGCATGATAAGATGCTGCTGTGTCGACCACCCATTCCAACTCTATACCTGCCAAGTGCATGAATTCTTCTTCCTCATTTATGAGGAGAACAACATCATCATTATTTTGCACCATGGCAGCTGTGTTGTCATCATTCTTCTGGCCGTTGCTTTCCCCTTTGCCCCTTTTTAGATTTGGACAATCTCTTATGAAGTATCCTGGTTGATCGCAATTGTAGCATTTTCTGGCCTTCGATTTTGATCGGACCTTGGAATTTCCACGAGCTCCGGATCCACATAGTTACTTGAGCTCCTTTGGTAACTTCTGCCTCTACTTTCCGTGATGAGAGCCTGTCCATGATTTTCAGGCCTTTTTCTCATCTTCTCATTAAGCAAAAGGGCTGATGTGACATCCTTCAACTCAATAGAGTCCTTACCATGTAAAATGGTTGTTGCTAAAGTATCGTAGGAAGATGGCAGCGAGTTTATAAGCACTATGGCTTTATCTTCATCCTCGATCTTTACTCCGAGGTTTGCTAGCTGCGTGATTAGTCCGTTAAGTACATTTAAATGAGACAAAAAATTTGTACCTTCACCCATATGTAGCGCATATAACTGCTTCTTTAGGTAAAATTTATTTGTCAGCGTTTTTGACATGTATAGATTTTCTAACTTTGTCCAAATGCTACATGCACTCTCTTCATCGATGATGTTATTAACTACATCATCTGTTAAGTGCAATCTGATTGCACTAGCAGCCTTTTCATCCATTTCTTTCCAATCCTCAAGTTTCATGGATTCGGGCTTTTTGGATTTGCCACCTAGTGCCTTATGCAAACCCTGTTGGATGAGCAAGTCTTTCATCCTTCTCTGCCACGTTGAGAAACCGCTATCACCGTTGAATTTTGCTTCCTTGTAGTTTGCTCCAGACATTTTTTTTATTGAGTATAGTATAATAAGCTGCAAAAAATATTTCTGTAAATGAGCAGAACCTGTGCTCTGATACCAATTGTTGGGAATAAATCCGTAACAGAAATAATATTTGCGGTAATAAAGGCAATAAATGTGGAACACAACAATGCGGTTAATCAACGAGAATAAAAGAGAAATAATGACACCAAGATTTTACGTGGAAACCCTCCTAAATAAGGGAAAAACCAGGACCCGAGAGGAGCAACGAATATCACTATAGTAAGGATTTTACACTTGTATGTCTGAGTAAAAAACTCCAAAGACCACTACATATTCAAAAGAAATAACACTCTTTTGAATTTTCCACCTCACTACAATATCGCTCACACTCTATTTTTCCTCACAGATTATTTTCCTCTATGATGCCTCACTCTTCTTTTCTCTCCTTTGTAATTCTTTTTGGTGCATTTTGAAATGAGCAAGAGCTCTCTATTTATAGGAAAATCTACTCCTAATAATGTCACCAGTGACATCACAAGAAACACAAGATTTCAACCTTTTCACCTATGTAGAAATCTTGCTAAGGTTTTAGTTGAAAAAAGAAATGGTGAGCTTTGAATTTTGTTGCAGCATTTGTAGACTTTAACAATGAGCAACAAACAAAATTCAACAATTTCTACATTTTAACTTTCCTTATGTTTATCTAAAATGGGTATGGACTCCACAGTTTTAAGGGAGAGGTTTGTAACTAACAACAAGTGTGTGTTTATTTATTTTATTTTCTTACATTTTTATTTGAATAATTTCGAAGATCTTTGTTCATGTTGTTTCATAATACTCTCCTACTTTTGTGATTTATGATATTATCTTATCTCATTTATTTTAATTTTATTGAAACAAATTTTATCTACTAATTATTATTAATATGGAAACGAATATGACTCTTGATAACAACTTGGGTATATAGAGAGAAAACAAAAAAATTGTGCTAACAAATAATTGCAATATGACACACGAATAATAAATTTGAGGGGAGATCAACGATAGAAAATGAGTATGAAAGAAAAAGAAAATACATAGTCATTAATATGCATTAATTCTTCACTTTAATTAGAGATTAAAATGATTGTTGACACATTTTAATCATGTTTGTGAATATTTTAATTTTAAATGAAATAAAAAAAGGAGGACAAACGAAGAATTATTTTCTTATGTTCCATTTCATTATTTCCAATTTCATTTTATAACTTTTTAATTATTTTTTTCTATTAAAATGAGAAAATATATCGACATCATCAAACATAATTCTTGCCAATTTATACTTAAAAATAAAAAGACGGCTGTAGATCAAATTTTCATTCACAAAATAATATATCATGATCTTTTCTTCTTTATAAGTTTTTTTCCTCTTTTTTTTTCATAATTAAATTCACATACTAATTTAATTTTGTCATTATGTATTTACCTTGAAATGTTTTTTTACATAATTTTTTAAAAAAATCACAGAAGATGTCAGATAAAAAAAGACACATAAATTGGACATTAATATTTGTATAATCTCTCTCTATATAATAAAGTTATGTATAAATGAAGTAATGAGACACCTTGCTATGATCAAACTTTTTCCCCTTCTTTTCTTGCCTTTATTTGCAATTATATTATTTTTAAAAATTATCTCCATAACTCACATTTTCCTCAAAATTCGGTGAATATGATTTATTAAGGCCTTTCAAAAATTAGAAATACATTATTATGGTAAATGGTCTAACAATTTTGTCTTTGAAGGTTAGCAAAAGATAAAAAGTGATGAACAGCTGAAACATTATTTTCTTCTCACAGTAAAACCACATGTAATAAGTTGAAATTAAAACACTTCCTAAAAGAGAGTTATAATAATAATTTTAGTATGGAGATTAAAGATTGTTTATTAATTCATTTCATTAAGTATTTCATTGAAATATCTAGGAGGTTAGAGTGAAGGTTCTATTAATATGTGTAATGATACTTGAAGATTCTTTAATCGAGATTGTTGAGTTTGGATATATCCAAACAAATAATTGGGATGATAAGTTATATGTATATTTATATTAACCAGGTAAAAAAAGAGTTAAAATAATTAAAATAAGAAAGATAAATTTAATAATATAAATTTTAAAAGGCGAATATAATAAAGTAAAATTTGTAGGAGGCTAGAATGAAAATTCTAATTATCTCATGTTTTTTCTTGATAGATCTATTATTTTTGTAGATTAATTTTCATTTAGTTCAACATTTTATGCATTTATATTAGAAAAAATAACATGATATTAGTAAAACAAACTTTATGTTAATCCAAGCAGATCTTTATTTTAGTTATCTACAATAAATGTAGATTTTACTTCATTTAC